ATTCCAGTGGTGCAGCTGCCCTCTGGGCCAGCTCCACATGTGGGTCAGGCCAACAGGAGTGTCATAAGGGCATTGTGTGTGTCCAGCCAGCCCGAGGGGTCAGTGCCAGTGTAGGGCTGAGCACTGTGGGCGGCCATGCCTGTGTTGTAGTTGGTCTCAGGAAAGAGAACAGGATGGTGAGAGGGCTGCAGGGTGACTGGAGAGACTCAGTGCAGGCCACTGCGGGACAGAGCCACCACTGGAGGGAGAGTCTGGGGACAGGAGTTGTCAGGACCCAGCCAGAGTGTGCTCAGTGTGGCCGGCCGGGTCCTCCTGTGGCAGGCTGAGCTGCAGAGGCAGGGTGGAGCCCGGAGGGGTGGCTGAGGTCTCCTGCCCATGAGCAGAGGTGAGCAGTGTTGGTGTCACCCTCACTTTGGTTGTGCTTCAGTCCCACACAAAGGCCTCCCGTGTGTGAGGCTGGCGGGCTCCTACCCCTTCTGCAGGGACACGACTTGCTAATGCTTCTTTGTGCTTTGCTGATGCATTTCACGGCCAGGTCACTGTTCATGGCTTTTTTGAAAATCTGTGGTCCTTACTGGTCAGCGTTTGCTACCTAAACTGACAGAAAAGTAGATACCTGCATTTCTTCCCTTCCCACTCACATCCCACTGTGTCCCCCATGTCACTGACATGCTGGTTTTTCCCAGATCAAAGAAACCGGTGCTAACCTGGCCATCTGCCAGTGGGGCTTTGATGACGAAGCGAATCACCTCCTCTTGCAGAACAGCCTGCCCGCCGTCCGCTGGGTGGGTGGCCCTGAGATCGAGGTAAGCACCCCAAGCAAGGCTTTCCCTAGATCGGTGAGCCTAAGTCAGGACAGGACCCTGTGCAGGTGGGCTCAGTGCTCTCTGAGTGAGTCCACTGGCCACCTGGTCAGGAAGGCCTGCTCCCGGCCCCAGGGGCACCACTGCTTTGTGCCCCTCACTGAGGAGTCTCGGCAGGGTCCTGAGGTGACCGCTTCCCACCAGGGCCCATGGGCCAGAGGTGCTGTACCCAGAACAGTGGTGCAGGTGTAGAGGAGGTCAGGCACACTGTGGTCTGACTGTGGCATTCACCAAAACCACCTTTTGTCCTCCTCAATCCCACCCAGCTGATCGCCATTGCGACAGGAGGCCGGATCGTGCCCCGGTTCTCAGAGCTCACCCCTGAGAAGCTGGGCTTTGCTGGGTTGGTGCAGGAGATCTCCTTCGGCACCACGAAGGACAAGATGCTGGTCATCGAGCAGTGCAAGAACTCACGGGCAGTCACCATCTTCATCAGGGGCGGGAACAAGATGGTGAGGCCCTGCCCTGCCCTGCGTGCTCCGGGCCTGGCTGCCCACAGTGTGCTTGACTCGTTACCGAGTTAGAGGGGGGCACATGGGCGTGGCACGGGCAGGAGCATCCATTTCGTGCTGTCCCTGAGGTGAGAACAGATGCGCAGTTAACCAGCCATTGCCGCTGCCCCGGAGCAGATGGGCTGCAGGTGGTGGGACCCTCCCGCCCCTTGTCCACCTCTGACCAGGGTTCCAGTGGGGCTGTTGGGAATTCCCCTGCCCAGCAAACCTCTGCACTGACCCGGCAGTGTCAGGCACAGGGCCCCACGTGGATCTCGGCCATGCTCAGGTCCCCCGCTTCTCTGCAGATCATCGAGGAGGCGAAGCGTTCCCTTCACGACGCCCTGTGCGTCATCCGGAACCTCATCCGGGACAACCGTGTGGTGTACGGCGGCGGTGCTGCCGAGATCTCCTGCGCGCTGGCCGTGAGCCAAGAGGCCGACAAGGTGAGCGGGTGCAGCCGCCCTGCAGAGGCCGCTCGGCTATCTCTGTCCTGTGTCCACTCCACGTCCCCATAACTGAGCCGGCAGCTCATGGCCCCATGCTCACTGCCATCCCCACCCCGCAGTGCCCGACCCTGGAGCAGTACGCCATGCGCGCATTCGCGGACGCGCTGGAGGTCATACCCATGGCGCTGGCCGAGAACAGTGGCATGAACCCCATCCAGACCATGACCGAGGTCCGTGCCAGGCAGGTGAAGGAGGCTAACCCCGCGCTCGGCATCGACTGTCTGCACAAGGGCACTAACGGTGAGTGTGGGTCCACGCTAGTGACCCCGGGGCCCCGGCAGATTAAAGTGCATTTCAACAGCAGTGACCTGGTCCAGGCAGCATCTCCAGAGACCAGGCGTCCCAACGTCCAGTTTTAGAAAGTGACTCTCTTCTCAGACTATCAGAGTCCCACGACCCGTGATCAGCTCTGAAGCAGGGTCAGCTCCCAGCTGGCAGAGGCCGTGCCCTGGGGAGTCCCCTCCACCTGGGGGGCTGCGGCCTTGCCCTCGGTCTGCGGTTTCTGGCTGATCAGGCTGCCGGGTCTGAGTCCTGGAATCAGCTCCCCGTCCCTGTTGGGAGTCGTGCTCCACTCAGAGGAACAGGTGTGCTTTGTGTGTCATGCACATAACAGGGATGGTGTCAGCATCTCAGGACCCCGCTGCCAGCACAGTTGGGGTGTGGACATTGTGGGGTGCTGTCATGGGTGCTTTTCCCTGTAAACAAGGAACAGGACCCCACCCCGCCATGCACAAACCCCCTCCCAGCAGCTGTCTGTTACCCAGACTGAGGCCAGTGTTCACGGGGAATGAGAGGCAGCTGAGCCCAGGGGCCACGTGGCCCGCAGGGCAGTGTGGTTTCTGAGCTGGGCTCTGGGACCCGGGCCACCCCTGGCGCCCACTCAGCGGCGCTGTAAGGGTTTACTGCAGTTGGGTAAGTAGACGCCTCCTATTGATTCCAAGTGCATGTGCTACTTTGGGCATTTACTTGTGTTTCTTCAGATATGAAGCAACAACACGTCATAGAAACCTTGATTGGCAAAAAGCAGCAGATCTCCCTGGCAACACAAATGGTTAGGATGATTCTGAAGATTGACGACATCCGAAAGCCAGGGGAGTCTGAAGAGTGAGGAGAAGTGGCGAGGTGCGGGAGCGAGATCCACTCCTTGGCGAAACACGTGGGCATCTGTGGCACTGCCGGTTATTTATTACTCTGCGTTTCGGAGGCTGTCGGTGCCATGATAAAAGTAGCCGTTTGGTAACCGTGGTTCCACTTGCTCCGAGCCGTGAGCTTTTGTAGTCATTAAAGTGGTCTCAAGTTTGGGAAGTGTTGGCTATAATGTTGAGTAAATGCTGCCTTCACTGCAGGGGCTCGAGGCGGTGTTTCTCACAATCAGATACATGGGCAGCATTGGGAGGCGAATAGGCTTGATCCATGCCCTGCGGGGTGCCCCTCTGTGTGGACCTGTGTCCAGCACCGGGTCTGAGCTGCAGGGAGCTGGCCAGGACCCCCGATGCCTGTGTGAGGGGACCACGGGTGGTGGAGACAGAGTGGACTGCCTTGGTGATGCTTAGGAGGCCCCTGGGCCATCCTGGGTTTGTTTTCTCCAGTGAGAAGGGCAGGGCAGGGAGGGTGCTTTCCTGTAGCAGTGCAGAAGCGGAATGACCCAGCTCGTGTTTCAGGCCCAGGCACAGGCGCACACCTGTCATCCCAGCACTGGGAGACTGAGGAAGGAGTCACCGTGAGCTCAGCCTGACCTGTGTGGTGGAACGCTTCTCAAAAACAGTTTAATACCATAGCAGACACAGATCTCCCTCCCTTCCCCTGGGCACTGCCCGCCTTGTCCCCAGCAGGTCATCTCCACCCGTCTCAGACCATTCCAGGGGTCTCCACAACCCAGACCAGCCACAGGCAGGGCGAGCGAGGTTCCCCAGGTGTACCTAACTTGTGGTTCATGACCCCCGACTCGCACCTGGTGCTAAGCTACACCACACGCACACTGACTTCCCCAGGCTGTTAGGTGGTGGGCCCAGGGGGCAGCCCAGGCCTGGCTGTGCTGGTGGGGTAAAGCAGAGGGGCGCACACACTAGGGAGACTCAGGTATGGCAAGGCAGGAAGCCCCAGGAGGACTCAGGTGCACAGCAGTGCATTGGCTGGGGCCCTGCCTGGCTTTCAGTCTGTGACAGCTCAGAGCCAGCCCCCCCCCCCAAGCTCAGGTGTAGGTGTCATAAAGTCCAAATGCAATGCCACCCAGCAGCGGGTCTGAGCTGCTGTGTTGTGACCCTGCACTAAGCAGACTGCACTGATGCCTCAGGGCTCTGGCTGCATTCCCAGGGTGCTCATCTGGGCCCCTCCAGCCACCTCCCCAGGAGGAGCCAGCTTTCACGACACCTGGTAACCCTCACACTGCGTGGGATGCAGTGCCACGGCCACCATGTCAGGTAGTGTGATGACCCCTCACCTGCATGCCCTCAATCCACCTGTGGTACAGCCCCTGCCATAAGCCAGCTCGGGGTGACAATCTGTACCCCAGTAAACGCCCCCATTCTCCGTAGCTCCCCACTACCTGTGACACCTGAGTAACTGCCACTCCAGGCTCCCAGAGAGCGCCCCCTCAGTCAGCCCAAAACCACATGATAAGACAGGCCCCAGGATGTCTGCCCATGCACACACATGCTCCTCGTCAGGCTGAGTGCTGCGTGCCGTGGGGTACCCCTGTGGTCCCAGCTGCTCAAGGCTGAGGTGAGAATCACCTCACAGTCACCTGGTGTCAGCCTGAGCAACACCACAAGACAGTGTCTCAGTCCACAAACCAAAGGGTCCTGGGAAAAGCACTGTAAACACGTGTGACCAAACCTGGAGCCTGTCAGGGTGAGAGGGGGACACAACAGCTCAGCAGACTGAGGCAGGACTGGAAGGTCAGGCCGGCCCGGGCACCTCTGCAAGCCTGTCTCAAAGTGGAAATGGCTGGGGATGTAACCGGGTGGCAGTGAGGTCCCCAGTGCCTCGAAGCAGCATCGCCAACCCAGTGGACGCAGCAGCCCAAAGTCTGAGACTCAACACCATGTCTGGGAAAACACCCTGGCAGGGCACTAACCGGGCCATGGTTTTTTTTCTTTTAGCTCAAGGGGAAGAAAAGAGCAACAAAAACCCAGCTCTTAGTTGGTGTCACCAGGTCGGTAGAACCTTTATTTCAGCATCATGGATTGAGAACTTGAGTGTACTTAAGAGCAGGATAACTAGGGAGAGCTGATGGAGGCCTGGGCTTGTCCTGACGGGGTTCTCCACGGGTGGCGAAGGATGCAGCCAGCTCACACAGACAGGCCCTCATAACCCCATTCCTGCTCCCATTCAGGTTCTCCAGAGACTGCTAGCCCCTTAATGTCCACTTAATACACATGCTCAGGGTGATTTCCATGCATTAACATTTTCTTCCCAATTTGTGTTTCAGATGAAACAAACTTCAACATCCTTACATTTTTTTTTTTTTTGTCTTTTTCTTTTTTATTGGTACCAGGGATCAAACTCTTGACCACACACTTGCAAGGCAGGCGCTTATGCCGCTGAGCTAAATCCCCAGCCCCTACATTTTTTTGCAACTAAAAAAGAAAATTCCAATGAACTAAGTACAGAGGCAAATTTCCAAATGAAGCGATTTAGAAGTTTGCACCCAACCGCTGCTACACGTACTTATGCAGCCACTCGACTAGATTCCGCCTGGCCTCGTCGATGTAGGGCTTGTCGGGCGCCTGGCAGTCCTCCTTCTTGCGGTGCACGAAGCCGTGGGTCTGCCCGGTGAAGGTTTTCACTTGGTGTGCCACCTTGCAGTGCTCCTTCAGCTTCTGGGTCAGCAGAGAGACCTGCCAGGCAGAAGGGTTGGTGATGGTGGGATGTGAGTGTGCGTGTGGAATCGTTTTAGTAGAGACATTCGGTACCGTACACAGAACAGTGTTCGTGTACAGAGGCATTATTCTTAACAGATAGATTCAAGTTCACTGTCTGTCGGTTCTAAATGCGTTTATACGGACTGCAGGAGCTGATCAACAGAAAGAGGGGCAAAATAGGCAAGTGCTGTATGTCACCAGATCCCCTTGGTAACGGTGCATCCTGTACATCTGCGGTGGGTGTGTGTTCATGAGGACATCACATCAGCTTTATAGTGTAGACCTACTCCACAGCCACACCAGGTTCTCTACTGCTGACCTCATAACTAACACAGTGCTCAGCACTGACAAAGGACAGCAATATGGAAGTGACAGGACAGCAGTGAAGATGTCCTGCACGTATGCTGCCCTGGCCGGGTGTCCAGGCAACCTGTCACAAGCTGAAAATACTCAAGATCAAACCTGCATCTAGGGCCATGGAGACGCAGCCCAGCTGCAAGACAGCTTTGAATTCAAGAGGCCTGAGTAAGGTTCCCAGAAGCATCGAAAGGAAGAACATGCACCTCCAGTCATGGGCTATGCTCCTGTAAACCCTGCCCCTTGGGCAGCTGGGGCAGGGGGACCAAAAGTTGAGCCTAGGCTGGGCTAGTATCATGCCTCAGAATCAAAAAGTCCCAACAGCCCAGGCATAGCTCAGCACCCACGGGGTTCAGTCCCCAGCACTGCAAGACACTGAGTCCGGGTGAGGGGAGACAGCCTCCCTTGGTCACCCAGCACACCAAGCACTGCCTTTGCCCCTCACGGCCTGGCCTGAGGGCACGGGACCTGGGCTGCCAGGCCGAGCTCAGAGCGAGGTTTTCACTGAGCATGAGTTACTAGTAAGGATTTCCCAGTGACTGGTAGTGTTTTCTTCTGGCCAGTACCGGAGAGCAAGCCCAGGGGCCTCTAGCACGGGCCACACCCAGCCTCCCTGGTTTCCATTCTGAGAAGCAGCCCCTCCACGTGGCCCAGGCCGGCCTTCAGCTTCCAGTCCTCCTGCCCCAGCCTCCGCGTGCAGGGTTACAGGTGTGCACCACTTCACAGCTGGCAAAGGAGCAGAGCCTCGCAGATAGCCTCTGACACTCACCGGAAAGACCGAGAGGTGTTAATGCAAACGCACGGGGTGGGACGGCCTTACCTGCTCCAGGGGAATCACAGGGTCTTTCTCACCAAAAATGAACAGCGTGGGGTTCTTCAGGTCATATACGTCTTCAGAATCCCGGACAATGCCTGGAAAAAGGGGTCCAGGCAGTCACACTCATGTCCCCTGCGTCCAGCTCGGACTTCCTGCCACGGCACAGCACGGTAAATCCCACCTGTCCAGGAGACAGGGTCCCAGGAAAGCCGCCCACGCCCCTGGCCGTGCTGGCAGAGCCGGCGCCCTGCCGCTGGACAGCCTGGCTGCCCTGGGCCCAGTCCCACAACTCCACGGCGCGATTGCACACAGCAGCCAGCAGGTGGCGCCGCTGCCGCGGCCGCTCAAGGGCGCCTCTGCGCTCGCTCACGAAGGGTTGGGTCCGCGGCTTACTTGCTTTTGTGTAGGTAAATATTTAACAGGGCTTTTCAGGTGCTAAAAGTAGGCGAAAGTACCAAAGAGAGAAATCGTTAAGCTATGTAAACATCATGGTACTGCACACATTCGCTAATAAAAAATAAAAAATGGAAGTGTGGCTGGTGAAAGACCAGTGCGTCTGTGAGAGGCAGTGCGGACTGTAAAGCCGTGTTTTGCATTAATTTTTGCAGATGTTGCCTTGAAACATTGAGTTTGAAATAATACTACATTATGTGAGTACACGGCTGTAAAAAATAAGAAGCATAGCTTTGTAATACACTAATATAAAAGCTATGCAGACTGGACATGGTGGCACACACCTATAATCTCTGCACCCAGGAAGCTGGTGCAGAGGGATCCTGTGAGCTTAAGGCCAGCCTGGACTACACAGCTAGATCCTCTCTCCAAACAACCACACATAAATGTTTTAAAAGCTTTGTTCTTTGGGGGAAGTACTGGGGATGGAACTCATGACCTCATGCTTGCCAGGCAGGTGCTTATGCCCCAGACCCCTTTTATTTTACACGCTCAGGAGGCTGAGGCAAGAGCATCGCTGTGAGTGCGAGGCCAGCCTGAACTGCATAAAGAAACTCAAAAAAATAAAAAAAAATTAGTAATAATTTTTAAAGCCAGGTGTGGTGGTGCATGACTATAATGCACTGAGGCAGGAGGATCACCATGAGTTCAAGGCCAGCCTGGGCCACAAAGTGAGCTCCAGGCCAGCATGAACTGCACAGCATGACCCTGTCTCAAAAAGACAAAAAACAAAAAGCAAAACCAAGAAAAACTTCACGAGTATCAGTGTAAAAGCTTCATGATGTCTTCGCTGTCATGAAGGCTCACGCTGCCATTTCTGTGGCAGAGGGGTCTCCTGTCACCGCCGCACCTCTGGCCACCCTGAATGTTACCATGTCTCCAGTGGGTTTTCCTCCCATTTCCGTTGCATGTGTGTGTGCACAGTGGAGCCGCCCCAGCGTTCCCTCAGCTGTCTGCTCAGGGGCGGATGCTGCACATGCAAGAGCCTCCAGAGGAGAGGCCGCCCTGTGTCCCAGCCCCAGACCTGGGACCTCTGCTCTGTGCTCAGATCCCCAAACCCCTTCCCGTGCTGCCCCCAGCAAGCAGCCCGGGTGAGGCCAGCCCTGCCCATCACTGAGAGAGCCCCGAGACTCACCGTAGACAGACACCCCCGCCCTGATCTCGGGGTACTTGGTCATCACGTGGTGCACCACGATGCCCCCCCAGCAGAAGCCCACGATGCCGATCCTCTGGGCTCCACACTGCTGTTTCAGGTAGCGCAGGACGGCAGCGACCTCCCTAGAAGAAAGGAAGAGGGGCTCAGGAATCCAGGGTTCCCTGATGAACCCCTGAAAGGGCAGGGCTAGCACGGATTGGTTAGCTTATACTTCTAGCACTCAAGAGGCAGAGGCAGGAGGATTGCAGTAAGTTCGAGGCCAGCTTGGTGTCCACATAGTAAAACTCTGTCTCAAAACACCAAAAAATAAATAAAAAAGTAAAAACTCTATGGCCACTTTTTTCTTTTAATCGTAACAGATTTATGTGCACGTACATAATACATCGTGCCACTGTGCGCAAGCAGTTCTTTCCTAGTTACAAAAGCAGTGATTAAGCCAGGCATGGTACACACTTGTATCCTGGCACTCTGGGAGGCTGAGGCAGGAGGATGACAAGTTCAAAGCTGGTCTGGGCAACTTAGCAACTCAGTGAAAGCCTGTCTCAAAATAAACAAACGGCTGGGGATATAGACACCGTAACTCGCATCTGAGGGTCCCCCAAAGCCTCGTGTACTCAGGCGGGCTTTCGGGAGGTAGCTGCCTCGTGGGGCTGTGACGCTGGATTAAGGTGTGTGGTATTGGGTTAGTCCACTCTCTGGGGTTAGTGAGGTTCTGGACGTGACTGCATGGACTGAGGGAAGGCAGAAGCCGCATCCTGGTGTGGATGGCATCAAAGGACAGGCGCACCGGCTGCTGCTGCCGCTGCTGTCCCCTGCTGCCTGCCTGCCATGGACTGTTTCTGCCCTGCCATGCCACCAGCTGACTGCAGGCTGAAATCACTGCAAACCTGAGCTAATGTTAACCTTTCCTCCTTTAACTTGTGGGTGTTGGGCATTTGTGTCCCAGCAATAAGGAAGTAACTAAGACAGGAGCTCAGTGCAAAGGTCCTGAGTTCACCCCAGGACCACGAAAAAGAGAAAGGTGGTGATTAAATTTTAAAATGTAAGGCATGAATGATCATTTGGGTCATTTTGCTTTGAATTTTCCTTGTCTATAGGGAATAACTGCTTTACTTGGGAGGGCCAAGAACGAAGGTGACATTTCTATTAAAATTTTTAGACTTAAGGGATGCCAAGCCATGTTCACTACTCAGGTCTGCTCCCATTTTCTGGAGATACCATTTTCTGGAGTCCATCTCTGGACACCCCTTGCCAGCCACATCATCTAGAGGGCCCTGTCTCTGGTTCCTGGAGTACAGTGTGCCGCTCAAGCCCGGCCAATCAAGACAGAAAATCTCCTGACCACAAGGATTGGTTCCAGGAGGGCTTTCTGAACCAATAAGAATCAAGAGAATAAAAATGAGATTTGCTGGGTTGTGGGGAGACAGGTAGTGGAAGGCCAGAGCAGCTGCAGCCATCTTGCCACCCAGAAGCGATTGATAGATGCCCCAGAAGGAAGCCAGCACACACAAAGTGGAGCTAAGTGATGTGGGGAGAATGAGTCCTGGAATCAGCTCAAGCCATGGACCAAGATTTTCTTGAAACCAGGAGCCACCGCTTTCATTTGATAAACCAGCAGCTCTCTGGATCACTTATGTACCCAGGATGGGTCCCTGTCACCTCTCCCACACCATTCACTTGGCCTCCTGGCAGGAAGGCCTTCAGACTGCAACACCGGGGTGGGGCCAGGCGAAGTCCCCTCCCAGGGTGGGGCAACAGTGGAGGGTGGGTGACCCTGGGGTGCTGCCTGCCTTCCTGCCTGGCTGTGGTGACCCTGGGGTGCTGCCTGCCCTCCACCCGGGCCATGGTGACTCACTTGTCCACCTTCCTGGCGTCTCTGGACTTGATCCACTCGGGGAAGGTGTTCCAGTCCCCAGAGGGGCTCCACGGCTCCTTCCCCACAAAGAAGTCTGGGACGATGGCTCTGGAAAGTACAGAAGTTCACAGATTCTCATTTCTGGCTGGGCCCTGGTGTGTTTGTCTTCAGGACCTGAGGAGGTGGCCACTCGGGCCCCAGAGCAGGGAACCCTGCAGCTCTCAGGCACCTCTGGCTGCAGCTGGCCAGACACTGGGTCTCACAAGCGCAGGTGCTCGGCCTGCGGCAGCCCAGGGACAACCAGGCCCAGGAGGTGACAGGGCCCATGGGCGCGGGGGCTGGGGAATGAGATGTTCCAGCGTGGGGCTCGGGGGCCAGGCACAGATGGCCACAAGGGTTCCTGCTATCCCAAGAGTCCCCCACCTTGTCATCAGACTCAGGCCAAGGGCACCTTTGGGTGGCAAAGCCAGTCACCATGACCAAGCACTTTCCCAGCCTCCGCCCAGGCTGCCACAGACACAAGAGGGCAAGGTCTACGGCAGGTTCTAGAAGAGGCCACAGGACGGAACATCCAGACTCATGAGTCCGTGTCACCTCCCCTGTCACCCTGGAAGGCAGGGGCCAGATTGGCTCTGACCCGTCCTGGTTCCCGCTTCAGAGGGCTGCAGCCTCCTGCACCTGGAGGAACCTGGCTCCTTGTGCAGGACCCGACAGACAGCGGAGCCTGAGTCAGAAGGCGTTTCCAGGCATGTTGGCCCCAGCTACAGGGTGGCTTTCACAAGCCTTGCTCATTTTTAGCTTTGGGGTGGGGGGTAGGGGGCAATGGTGGGCCTGTGCAACCAAGCAAGGGGTCACTAGTGAGCCCCAGGATGTGGGCTTCAAAAATATGAACAAGATCATTATGCGCAGCTCAAATAGACCAATAAAACCTGATTGAAAAGGAAAAAATTTTTTAAATGCGTTAGAGCAAAAAGACATCACCATGCCCCCTCCTGCCCACCCCTCTGATGAGCGTACTGATCCCATCTTCTCCGGCTTTCCTAGCAGCTCTCCAGGCCCTGAGTGTTTTGGGCTGCGCTCCTGCCCTTTCATAGTCATCCTGCCTTTGGGGTCGAGCCCCAGGGCTCCCAGGGACAGATCCAGGGAATGAGGCAGAGGAGCACAAGATACCATGCTCTTACCTGCTTGCCTTTCTGTTGGATGGCGCTCGGCAGCAGCAGTCACTGCATTTTTGAGCCTCCCTCATTGGGCTAGACAGAGGCGCCCTGCAGCACCCTCCTCAGAGCACCTGAGACCTCTGTCTCAAAAGCCCAGTTTCCTGAGCCACAAAGCAGTGGCATCACAGTCCCACACCAAGGGCTGCTGAGGGGACTGGGGTCTGGGGTCCCTGTCAGTGCTGTGGCTAAGCTGGGGGCACTCAGGGTCCGCTGTCACTCATTGACCTGAAGGTGAATCCTTGCTCCTCCAGAGAGAACCCAGGGATGCAGACATGGGAACCGTGGAGGGGAAGACAGCCTCCCGCTCGCACGGGGCTCACACCATGCCACAGCGGATACCAGGCCTTCCCTGCAGCTTCCCTGTGCAGGAAAAGGGGCTGGTACACCTCACATTTCCAGGCTCTCCTTTTGTGAAAAGCAAAGGAAGCTGGGGAAGAGCTGCTCCGGGTTCGCAGGCTCCCCGCTTTCTGAGGCTACAGAGAAGAAAGAGTCTACACACCCCTATGCCCAGGGCCCAACGCAAAAAGCACGGCCATCTGATCAGGCACAGGCATCACCCCCAGGGGGTGAGCAGGGTCCCCCTGTGCCATGTCCAGACCCGTCCCAACAAGGCAGGCTATGATCCTGCAGGATGATCCTCAACGCCTGGCTGACCACGCTGGCCCAGGAGCCTGGGTCGGGGCAGGTGTGGGTTCATCTCAGCCCCCATGAGTCTGCTTATGGAGCCCTGATATAGATGTGGAGGAGCCAGTGTCCCCCAGACCTGCTAGGCCAGGAACTCCCAGGGGAACCTGAAGTCCAGGGATGGACTGGACGGGGGCAGGTGGCTATGTCACCCCATACAACAACTGTGTCCCCTCGACATTGGGCAATAAGGAGCAGCTGGTGTGAAGGAGAGTGCAGCCCAGCTGGCTTTTGCTTGTGTCTTTGTGAATAGCATAGTCATAGTCAGGTTTTTGTTTCTCTTTCTTTCTGTCTGAAAGGAACCAAATGGACCCCAGAAACATACATGAATTTAAGGGAAGAAACCATTTCATACGTACGTGTATCCATTTCCTGCGATCAGGTCGGCCATGTACCTGGTGTTGGGCAGCTCCCAGCCAAAGATGTCCTGCACCACAATGACAGCTCTTCCCTGGTCAGCTGGGGGCCGGGTGATGTAAGCCTTGATGTGCTCCACCTGCACCTCGTGGCCCATCCCCCCGTACTCCAGCCGGTGGCCGATGTCGCACGGGCAAGGGTTTGCTTCGTTGGCCATCGTGGGTCCTGCAGTCAGCCAAGCCAGGAGAGAAGACACGTGTCATTCTGAATGGCCCAAAACTACAGGTCACAGAACCAGTACACCAACCGGATTCCTGGGGAAAGGTTCATTGCAACCCCGTCTACGGCACTTATTGTGGGAAAAATTGATAATTTTAGCGGTGAGAACGTTCCTAAGGACCTGTTTCTACATCAAACGCTGCAAACACAGATTCAGTGCAGCCAGTTATCAACTCAAACCTCTACGGTAGTGCTTTCCAGAAAGGTGACCCAGGTACGCCCAGTCCTGCAGAGGGCCAAAGCCAGGAGGGAAGCTGAGAGCCAGACAGGGAGATGACAAGAGACCAGTGATGTGGGGGACAGCGCCAGACCCAGAGCACTGCTGACAGTGGCCGCCCCTGCAGTGTGAGCTCCCCAACGTTCACATCTGGGGCGGGGGGCAAAACAGGAAAACAGGGTGTCACCCAGGCATAGAAGTACTGAAAAGATGCTCATCTCACCCTCAGTTCTGAGTGGGGTGGGAGCAGAAGCCATGCCAGGTTTACATCGTCCCCCAGTGTCACACTGGAACGCCAAGGCCGAGAAAGAACTAGAACAACCGACCCCAGGCCACAGAAACCGCAGAACTCCAGATCCACTTTGCAGGGAGACTTCTGCACCCCAGGCCGGAAAGGTCAGCCTGGCCCAGTCCGGCCTGGACATCACTCGGAAAACCACCCTCAGCAGTGACAAGCAGACCATCCTCGCAGAGCCAGTAGCGGCCGTCACCGAGGGCAGACCTGCAACAGTGCCGTCAACCAAAACAGGAAGCAGGGAAAAAATAATTTAAAATGTGTTAACTGTGAAGCACGAAACCTTTGCATAAATGCTGAACCCAGGTAAATGTGAACACATCAATCCGCTCATTAGGGTGGACTCTCAGACTGGACTGTGTCTAAAACGGGGGTTCAGTCTAGAGAGAAGGCCAAAGCTATGAAGGCCACAGAAAAGGAGTGGATCCCAAAGGGGTCACTGAGACGCCTCTCAAGGCCCTAGAAACACAGGACAACCCAGATCGGAAATTAACAGAGGGAAAGGAAGAGCAAAATCGGTGCAGAAACCAATGAACTGGAGATTAAAATAACAAGTCAGGGCAGCAGTGAGCCAAAGAACGGGTTTGGAGAAAAGAAGGAAAGAGGGTCAGAATGGAGAGCTGGAGGGAGGGATGGTGTGGGACACTGGGATTCAGAGATGATCAAGATGTGACATGCGTGTCCCTGTGTGAGCCTATGTCCTGAGTGTCACAGACAGGTACTACTAGGGGAGAAAAAAAAAAAAGTGAGGGGAAATTGTCAAAAGTGAAACTAGAATTCATTCCATCAAAAACCTGGAACACTTCCTCACTAACAAGCAGCAAGTATTGGCTTCCCTGCAGAGCCCAGTGGCTACCAAACTCCCCGCACACCAGCTGTGATGGCTGACATGTGGACCTCCCGGCAAAGCCTCCTGGCTCTGAGTGGGGCTCCTGAAAGGTGATTGGGTTACCAGGGCTCCTAACTGGCTGGCTATTAGGAGGTGAAGCCTGATTGGAAGAGCTGAGTCACTGTAGGCGTGGCCTGTGAGGGTCTAACTCCGCCCTCTTCCTGCTGCCCTGCCAGGGACTGTTTCTCCTCTGTGATGCCCCTCTGCCTTGGAGCCAGCCAACTGTGGACTGAGCCAAATCACCCTTTCCTTCTTCAACTTGTGGGTGCTGGTATTGCATCCCAGCAACAAGAAAAGAAAGGCACTAACCCACCATGCAAGTTTCCACTGCAATTTCTTTGTAGTGCTGCTAATTGAGCGAGGGCCTCCCATATGCTAAGGCAAGCACTGTATCCCTGAGCTGCACCCCCCAGCCCCCAAGAGAGGTTTTACATAAAAGATGTTATATAAGTGTGATGAAATTATAATAAAAACTCAAAAGACTTAGAGCTGATTCACAATGAAGGAACACTAGCAAAAGCTGATACACTCAATGCACTGGAGTGTAGAGAAGGGATATAGCTCCACAGCACAGTGCCTGCTTGGAAGCTCAAGGTCATGAGTTCGATCCCAGGTCAGTACCAAAAAAACAACAACAAAGAACTTAGAGGTCAAAAAACCAAGATAAACCCCATCTGAGTCCCTTCTGCTGCCCTGGTGAAATGGATCAACTAGCAGCTCATAAACACCAATGTGCAGTTCTCTCCTTCTGGAGGCTGAGAAGCCCAGGATCAAGACCATAGCAGACTCCGGGTCAGCCACTCTGGTTCCCAGGCAGTGCCTTCCCCCTCCTCGCCAGGGGAGGACAGGGCCACACCTCTTTCCTAAGGACGCTGGCCCTGTCTAACAGCTCCTCCAACCTGACTGATCACCCCTTGCACCATCACCTTGCGGGTTAGGCTTCCCACAGACACATTCTGGAAAGGACACACTCTCTGAACACAGTGAACCCAAAAGGAAAAATAAGGAAGGGAAAATCAACAGTAGAGAAAATCCTGCAAGGTTAAAATCTGACTCCTTGAAGAGTTACACAGTAGGTATATCTCTAGGAACACTGAAAATAAAGATACACACACACACACACACACACACACACACACAGTGGGCCAACCTCTGGAATGAAAAGTGACATAAGATGTTTTCTCTAACGGGGCATGGTGGCACACACCCCTAACCCCAGAATTCAGGAGGCTGAGGCAGGAGGGTTGTTGTCGGGGCCCAGGCTGTGTGACCTGGATCCTGTCATCTCCAGGCTGGTGCTACATTGCTTTAGGGTCAGAGAAGCCGGTGGGAGGCCGCCGTGCTTCCTGGATGCACAGAGAAGGCTCCTGACCACAGCTCCTGAGGCTGGGTAACATCTGCTGGGGTCGGAGGGAGGAACGAGCTCCACTCTGACCTTTCCCTGTCTGGGGCGGCCGCTGCTCCACACAGAGCACCCTGGTGGCTCGCTGGGGCTGCAGGCCAGATACAGAGACTGGTGAGCCTGTCTGCTAGAGTGGGGCCAATCTGGGTCCCTGTACCTTGAGTGCTATCTTTTGTCATTTTTTCATTCTCAGATGTCCCCTCACTGCACAGCTATCCAGGGGTTGGATCAGCCCTTGATAGATCTTCAGGAGTTCAAAGCCAGCTGGGCTGCATGGGGAATTCAAGGTGAGCCTGAGCTAGAGAAGAAGACCTTGTCTCAAAAAATAAAAAGAAAGAAAAAAATGTTTTTCTCCGTAAGGGGCTAGGGTGTCGTGCCATGGTGGAACACATGACTGGCGTTCATGAGGCCCTGAGTTCAATCCCCAGCCTGCTAAACAAGCATGAACCAAAAAGCCAAACTCTGTAATACTATAAGAAATTAGTAGGGGCCAGGAATTTAGCTCAGCGGCGTCAGCGCTTGCCTTGCAAGCACGAGGTCATGAGTTCGATCCCTGGTAGAGAGAGAGAGAGAGAGAGAGAGAGAGAGAGAGAGAGAGAGAAAGAAAGGAAAGAAAGAAGGAAAGAAAGAAAGAAAGAAAGAAAGAAAGAAAGAAAGAAAGAAAGAAAGAAAGAAAGAAAGACACGCCCGTTATCTTGAGGGAACTTCAGTGAGGTCCTGGTACAGACTCAAGAGCTGATATCAGAGCCATGTGAGCGGGCAGGGCAGGGGCACAGGTGCCAGCTGCTGTTCCACACTGATATTAGTTTTACAAGTGGGATAAGGTGCAGTTGCAGGGCTCACGTAGGAGGGTGCTCCTGCCCACAGAGACATGCCCTCGAGCCCTGGGGGTAACATATGGCACTTTCTACAGTGTATCCTAGGCTGGATCATCCTTCATTGGCTCATAACATACACACGAGCACCGCACACCTATGGATTCACAAAGGGATCCAGCAAACTGCCAGGAACCACAGAAGCCAGCAAGCAGTGTGCGTGTGTTTGCCATACTAATCTTTCCATGTTTCCAAGTTTCAACCTTTCCCACAACAGCCAGTCAGAGTTGGGAACCCAGTGGGCAAAATACTCACCAACCCAAACAATAAAAAAAAGTCAGAACCAGGTGTGGTGGCACACACCTGTCATCCCAGCACTCGGGAGGCTGAGACAAGAGGATCCCTTCGAATTTGAGGCCAGCCTGGGCTACAAAGTGAGATCAAGGCCAACCTGAACTGCATAGTGAGACCCTATCTCAAAAAGACACAAAAAATCATGCATAGATTTGAATTTGCAAGAAATAAAATAGGCTACATCTTAGATATGAAAACTGGGCAAGCCGAAGGTGAGAATGAGAAGGTTCTGTGACCCCGCCCTTAGGAATTTAGGTACAAGATTCCCAGATGAGATCTGGACACAGGCTCTGGGATGCACTGCAAGTAAACAGGTGGCGATGACGTCGGGAATGAGAGAAGGGGCCTCAGTCACCCACTGTAACCCACAACACTAGAAATGAGACGGGTCTGCATCACCATAGCAACAGATGAAGGGCGAGCACCGGGATGAAATGCAGCAGAGGTCGGGGCTGAGCGTCTGCATCACCTGACATCCACACGTACAGCGAGGTGCGGGGCGCACACCCTCATTCCAACACGGAGGGAGGCAGAGGCAGGAAGATCACAGGTTCCGGGCCAGTCCAGACAACTCTCAAGGAGGCCTTGCCTCAAAATAAAAAGTAAGAAAGGGCTGGGGTGGGGCTCGTGGTGGGGCTTCCCTGGGGGCCATGCCCAGCCCTGAAGACAAACTTGTGTGTCAAAGTCGTAGCTCCTGTTTGCAGTTCTGTTTGGAGGGAGGGATTAATGTTAAGTGAAATCATGAGGCCGGGGTCCCCGGTCTTGTGGCATCAGTGTTCACATGATCACTTGAGAAGGGACACCAGCAAGAGTCTGTCCTTCCAGGATGCCGTGCACTGAGCTAGCGCCATGCAAGAATGCACGGGAAGGTGCCCGTGTGTGTGTGTGTGTGTGTGTGTGTGTGTGTGTGTGTGTGCGTGTGTGCGTGTGTTTTGTTTGTTTGTTTTTTGAGGCAGGGTCTCGAAATGCAGTTCAGGCTGGCCTTGAGTTCACATTGTAGTTCTGGGCGGTCTGGACCATGCAATGATCCTCCTGCCTCAGCCTCCTGAGTTCTGGGATGACCGGTGTGTTCCACCACGCCTAGTTTATGTGCGTGGTTTTGGTTTTGGTGCTGCGGTGCTAGAGATCTAACCCAGACCCCACACACGCTAAGCCAGCCCTCCACCACGCCCCAGCCCACCGCAGGGAAGTCTGAGTGGCCGCTGCATGCACTGTGATGGCAGCACCCAGGCTGGAAGCCAGCACCTCAGAGCCCGAGGGCGCCCACCCACTCTTCTCAAGCCAGGAAGAGGATGGAGCATCTGTGCCTGAGGGTCCTGCGAGGTAACAGGCCACAGAAGAGAACTCATAAAAGGCTTTAAATGTAAAAGGCAATGAAGTTAAATTTTAAAGAGGGTTTGGAGGAAAGAAACATCACTGTCCTCTGGCTTATGATTAGCCCTGCAGAAACTGCAAGGTCATGCACACAAAAAAACCAGAAAGACCGCAAGACTCTGCACAAAAGTCAAGAGCTTTCTTATCCATGAGGCATCAGAGAACGGCTTTGAAAACAGTCATGGCAGTGCACACCTGGAACCCAGCACTCAGGAGGCTGAGGCAGAGAATCATGAGACCCAGTTTCAAAACACAAAGGAAAATAAACGCAATGTTTATGTAACACCACCAGATACCAACATTTGTCAGATAAGGATACAACGCTAACAATAGATGTCCAAGTCATTTAAAGGAAGCTGACTGTTTAATACCAAGGACAGATAGAGAACTAAGTAAATGAAGGCACACAGCATGCTAACATCAGTGACTCAAACAATCGGCATCTGAGGCCTTGGATACAGCTCAGTGGCGCAGTGTCTGCTTAGAAAGTGCAAGGTCCTGAGTTCGATTCCTGCTACCCACAAAATAAAAATTAAATAACTAAAGGAACTTTATTTTTAAAAAAAAAAAAAAGAGTCAGTGTTTGTAAAGATGCCACCTTGCTTCAAATAAACCTCTAACTTTGGTGCAATTACAACCAAAATTCTAGCAAGGGATTTCATATTATTTATAATAAAAATTATAGAAGAAGAGTAAGAGGTAAGAATCATGGAGACGGCCCATCAAAGTGCTACAGTAGCCAGGGATCGTGGCGCACAACTGTTAATCCCAGCACTTTGGGAAGCTGAAGCAGGAGGATCTCAAGTCTGAGGCTGGCTTGGGCAATTTAGCAACTCAAAAAGAGAGTTTTTTAAAAAATTTATTTATTTATTTTTGGTACTGAACTGAACTCAGAACCCTGGGCTTGTCTGGTAGGCGCTGGGCCACTGAGCTGTATCCCCAGCCCCAAAAAGACAGTGTTTCAACCAAAAGAAGAAGACTTGGGGTATAGTTCAAACAAAGGCCTTGGATTCAAGCTACAGAGCAGGAAACAAAATTAAGAGCTACTTACTTCTGGAAACACAGATAAATCAATCAATGGAACAGACCCAGGACCAGAGACACAAATCCGTATATCCACCCAGCCACTCAGAAAGACAGGAATGGGGGCACCTTCGGGACCCACCCGCGGGAGGCGCTGGGCGGCCGCAGGGACTTCAGAGACCTCAGCCTGAGCTGGGGTCTTGGTCCTGGTGATGGGTGTGACACGTGCGTTGCTGGTCCTGGCCGGGCTTTCCCAGTAGCTCTATCTCTCACTGAACCAAGTTAACAGGGCAGGAGAGGGCTCGGAAGGGACACAGGGCCAGCAAGAGGATGCTGGCGGCCGGAGCCAGGCAGGTGAGCCACACCAGGGCCAGGGTCACGGTGGGTCTGCGGAGGACCGTGCAGAACAGCGGGGCAGGAGGGGGGCGCCACCGCGGAGCACAGGAGGCCCAGGGGACCTCTGCCCACCTCCGCCCCCAGTCCAGTCAGGTGCTTAGAAATCCGAGTGGCAGAAACAAAATGAAACTTCTCGGAGAAAATGCGGTGCTTCTCCTTCAGCTGGGGACCATTTCTTAGGGGAGACCCAAGCCATGTACACCGTGAAGAAGACGCTTCACACATTTCATCTTCTTTTTAACCAACCATAAAGGGAAAAGCATTGCACTCAGGAGGCTGAGGCAGGAAGATCACAAGTGCAAGCCTAGCCTGGATAACTCAGTGACTTTGTGAGACTAGGGATGCTGCTCAGTGCAAAGGCCCTGGGTTTAACCCCCAGAACCCCCAAAAATAACTACACCTGAATGATTCCTAAGTATATGGAAAGGTACTCAAGGTCACCAGTGCTTAAGGAAACTGCCAAGGCACTGCACAGCTTGCAGACTGACTGGACGCCTGTCACCACGGAGAGAAAGTGCCCTTGCAGGGAAGGCGGGTGTGCATCCACGGAAACCCAGAGAGCTGCTAGCACGGCCAGCCAAGTGGCAGATGAAGGAGATCCTTGCCTGCTGCAGGACACAGTGCTGGCACCAGCAGCCCAGAAGAGCAGAGGGTTAGTCTTACGGTTTGCGGGTTTAGTCCGTGGCTGGCGGCTCCAGGGCAGGAAGAGCGGGTGGGAGGGCCTGGCGGAGCATACCCGCTTAGCACATGGTGGCCAGAAAGGAGAGGAGGGAGCCGTGCAGAGAGGAGGGTGGGAGGTAACAGGAGGACTTTCTCAGTGGCGTTAATGTGGTGGAAGCAACGTAATCGATCCCTGTCGGTGACACATGCTTGTACTCCCAGCTACTGGGGAGGCTGAAGCAGGAGAATTGCAAGTTGGAAGCCAGCCCAGGCCTCGTGATGCTTTTTGACACTGACTCAAAGTCAAACATAAAATTATTTTAAAAGGATGGAGGTGTAGCTGCTCGTGAATGGCTGGGTTCAATCCCCAGTATCACACACTAAAAGAGAGGGAAGGGGTCTTTGTAAATGTATTGAGCTAAGATAAGATCAGCCCAGTGCAGTGGCATACCCCTGTGATCCCAGCATTCAGGAGGCCGAGGCAGGAAGATTGCCGTGAGTTTGAGGTCAGTCTGGGTGACATAGTGAATTCAAGGCCAGCCTGACCTACATAGTGAAACTCTGTTTCAAGATGAAAAAAAAGAGAAGAAAAGAAAAAATAAAAACAAATGGAGGCCTTCTCTCAGGCAGGGGAGAAGGCCACTGAATTCCCTGAGAGACAGGCAGTCTGTTCGTTACTGTGACTTACAGAGCTGCAGAACCTCTGGGATACCAGGACCAGGGCCGGAAGCAGACAGCCCAGCAGGCAAAGCTGTCTGTGACCGGGACTTCTCCACCCACACCCCAGATTCCTTCTCTTGTCCCTCGACCTACAGAAGAGCAATGTGGTTGTGGTTGCCTCCTCTAAGGGGCAGAGGCTCTTGCATCTGATATGCCCGAGGGGTCCTAATCACACGTGTGTCAAATGAGGCTTTTTTTGGGGTGTGATGGTGCACCCATAATCCAACCTCTCTGGGAAGCTGAGGCAAGAAGATCTCAGATTCAAACCCAAATTGCACAATTTAGCAATTTGGTAAGAGCCTGTCTCACAGTTTAAAGAACAGCAACCAGGCATGGTGGTGCAGCCTATAATCCCAGCACTCGGGAGGCCGAGGCAGGGGGATCACTATGCGTTAGAAGCCAGCCTGGGCTACAAAGTGAGTTCAAGACCAGCCTGAAATTGAGACCCTGTCTCAAAAAGACAAAAAAAAATTGCACAGGCCCAGGGTTCAATCCCCAGTTCCAAACAATGGACGCTTCTCAGGGTAGATGTGTTAGGGCCACAGCATGGGCTCTATGGGATCAGGCCTGTGATCTCCAGTTTAGGACACTTGGCACAAGAGTGGCCGGGAAGGCCCTTGCATAGGGAGCACACCTTGCATACCTGGCAGCACAACCTGCGACTTGCGGCAAGCTTCCACAGTAGCTGCACCACAGGAAGCCCCCCAACGTCCCTGTCAACCTGGTGCAAGACCCACGCCCCTGAGCACGGTACAGCCCGGTCCCCTGGAGAGCGGGCCCAGCACCCACTGGCCTGGCACTCAGCAGCACCTCCACCCACCCTCGATGCCTACCCGCACCTCTGCAGAGTCAGGGGAGCCAGCAGGGCCTCCTGCCCTGCAGCCCGCAGCCCTCCCAATGCATGCAGTCAACTTCCTGACCTCCCTCTTGAACCCCTGAGGACCTGCGGTTCCCTCAAGTCTTGCTCCTACCTTCAGTGTAGGAGCAGCAGCGGCCACAGCAGAGTCAGAGGGGGGCGGTGAGGTGTGACCCAGGTGTGTGCCCAGCTTTATAGGCCACAAGTCACACTCTACAGGGGACAAAGTCCCCCACCAGAAGCAGTCAGCAGCGCCTTGGCAGAGCGGAACTGTGAGAAGCACAGAAGTCTGGGCTGGGGCTCCAGGTCCCCCCAAGATAAAATGACACCGAGACGCAGCGTCCGAAGCGGAGGCTGCCAGGCTGTTTGCCCTTGCTGGTTAAACACTGCCAGTGCTCAGAACTGATTTTCAACCCTGCATTGGGGAAATTGGGCCAATTCTTTAAAAAATAAAAAGGTTGAGTGACCACAACTGTGCTCTGCATAGAGCACGGGGCTCCCATGGCTTCCCCCCAGGAGCTGCATGCCACAGCCACAGCCTCTGGGCACAGGCTCGCCCCTTCCCGCTGTGCCCGGGGCTCATCCTGGCTGCCTTCTGTTAAAAGGGCTCTGAAAACAACAGGTGGCCTTTCCTGTCGGTGGCAATCTCAGGACTCGGTGTCAGTCAGCAAGGCCTGGCCCCGGCCCAAGTTGGGCCGCATGCTGCAAACTGTACTCTGTCCCTTGGCTGGCAAGGCCACCGCAGCTAGGGTGTCACTTAACAGGACAGTGCTGTCTCCCAGACAAGGACGCCCACAGTGTGCACCGCGGCTCCCTGCAAACCCGCCCACGGCTCCCCAACTTCAAATCCGAAATAGCCCCCGCAGAGGCAGGGCGCCCTGCACCGCATGCCGTCCTCAAGGCTGGACTGTGTGTGTGCAGTGTGACTTTCAGAGTGCGGCCGCGGGGCGGGGTGGCTTCCAGGACGGTGCTTGCCTGGCACCCCAGGCCCCAGTCGGTCCCCAGCGGCGGAAACAGGAAGGGAGCAGCAAAGTGCACGCTGAAGGGAGAGCGGACTGCACCATGAGGCTGAGCTCCCCGCGCTGGCCAGGCAGCCAGACCAGCCCTCCTGTCCCTGCACCCTGCCCGCCCCCAGCGCCCCGCACCTACCCTGTCACCCTGTCCCGCGCCTGAGGACCCTGAGACACGGAGCCTCGGCGACACAGAGGGGAGGAGGGAGGGCGGAGCCGGGGAGCCCTGGCTGTGACCCAGATTCCTGTCCCGGGAAAGCCCGGGCCACCGGAGAGGAAGGCCGAGCGGGGAGACTGCCAGCCTGGACTTCTAGGCCCTGGCTGGCTCCTGGGACATGTCATTTCTCCACTGTGAATCACTGTGAGACTAGTTTTTAAAAATAAACTACTATACATTTCACACATCTCACACACACACACACACACACACACACACACACACACACACAGAGCGAGTATACACACCCTGAATTTTGTGTTCTGGTCCTCTGACCCAGGCTGGACTCCCAACACTCTGGGAGGCTGAAGCAGGAAGATCACAATTGGAGGTCAGCCTGGGCAACTTACCGAGTCAGGGAGACCCTGTCTCTAATAAAAGGACAGCTGAGGACATACTCCCATGTGAAAGTCTAGGGTTCAAGCCCTGAGAGAGGCAGGCAGGTCGGGCGAGGGCGCTGTGGCTGGGCAGTGAGACTGGTTTCAATGGACGGAAGGGGAGGATGAGAGGGCCAGGTGCTGGTCTCTCACTGGCACGAGGAAGCGTGGCCATCAGCAGGGGACACCTTCTCAGACCGGAGGGGAGACTGCAGCACAAGACGGTGCGTGCTGGGCACCCTTCTGGTGGACATGGTTTCCTACGGCCACAGAGCTGCCATGAGTCTGCTCTCTTGTTTGTGTGCTTCACTTTTGTTTGTTTGTTTGTTTGTTTGTTTGTTGGTACCGGGGAATTCATGGCGCCTACACCACTGAGCTAAATCCCCAGCTGTGCTTCCCTTTTGAGACAGGGTCTCCCTGTGTTCCAGGCTGGTCTCAAACTCACTGTGTAACCCCGGCTGGCCTCCCACTTGCAGCAATCCTCTCGCCTCAGCCTACCCGGTGCTGGGTTCACAGTCGGGCGCCACCATGGCCAGGAGTAAGATTTCACAAGCATCTTTCAACATCTTTGAGGAGAACAGATATGACTGGTTACAGATCCTTTTTCTTCATGTGCTAAATTTAGCTCCCCAGCATGGCCACCAACTTCTGATTTAACAACATGGTTATTAATAGACTTATCTGCACCAGCTCTGCAGCAGCTTGCGGGCCCACTGGTGAAGTCGTGTGCACTTGTGCAAAGGTGTGTTCTGCTTGGGAACAGTGCCAGGCCTGGGCACGCTCAGCAGTGTGAGAGCGTTTGTCACCTGTGACCCGGGCCACGGGGAGACCAAGCCCGTTCCTCACCAAGCCCAGGTTTCTCAAGACCAAAGCTGTGAGCCCATGGAGGTGATCTCTTTCCACTCTGCATCTGCCTACAGACAGGTCCGGGTCTCCGGACTCAGTTTCCTTAGCTGTGAAACAAAGGGTTGTGCCAGGTTCATGCCCCAAACCTCAGCAGGCACTGGAGTCCCCGGAAGGATTGGGAAACTGCAGTGTGCTGAGCCCTAATGCCACAGCCTGCTGTCCGGAGGGTCCCTGTGGACCTCAAGACACCGAACCGCTGGGAGACTCCGACATGCATGTGTGATGCTTCCTGCGGGGACTCAGCTTGCGTGACAGCTACCGTGTGCCTGCGTCCACGTCCAAGACCAAAGGGAAGGGTCCTCCTGCAGCAGAGAAGGTCACTGGGGAAAGCTCAGCGGCCACTGGAGCCTGAGAGCCAAGCCTGCGCCCAGGCTCACAAGCCCATGGCTCCCAGAGCCACACATGCCCATCGGAAGGTCTTTTGGAAGGTGGCTGGATCTAGGGTGTGTGGCCAGGGCTCAAGTGTGTGTGATGACTACATGGGTTTAGCACAGTTCCGGGTGTGGATTATGGAAGCCCCACCTGGGTGTGGAGGTTCACAGCCCGGATGGAAGGAAAGCAGGCTGGCTGGCCACTGCCTGCCCCGCCATGGACTGTTTCTCCTCTGCCAGGCTGCCCTACATGTATGGACTGAAACCGCTACTATGGCAACCTACAATACACCTTTTCTCTTTTACCTTTGGGTGTTGAATATTTTGTCTCAGCAACGAGAAAGGTAACGAAATAGCCTGAGACTCCACCAAAGGAGCCAGGAGCAGTGCCCATTCAGGATAGGGCTGCAGCTGCTCGGGGACCCCCACCCTGGGAAGGCGCAGCCATCCAGACCAGCACTGCTCCACCAACCTGAACCCGGAAATACACAGGAATGGGACCCGGAGGGGGGCCCAGCCCTGCCTGGGCCAGCACCACGCTGCCAAGCCACCAGAGCGCACTGCCTGTGCCTGTGTCCTGCTCTCATGTAGCTTTGTTCTGAAAGTTCCTGCCCCCAGATTCTGACACTGAAACCCTAACCCCAGGGTGAGGGTATCAGCAGGCAGGGGTCACAAGCACAGACCCTGTGGGAATGGGCTGGCAGCCTACAGGAAACCCCAGGACAAGACAGACTCCCTTGTCCTCGAGCTGGAAGAAGCCCCTCGCCATGGTGGCGCCCACTCATAATCCCAGCACTCGAGGGCCGAGGCAGGAAGATTGCAAATTCCTGGCCAGCTTGGGTTTTTTTGTTTTCTTTTGTTGTTGTCTGGTTGGGGGGATTTTTTTGTTTGGTTGGTTGATTTGGTTTTGGATTTTTAAGGCAGAGTCTCACTACCCAGTTCATGCTGGCCTTCAGCTCTCAGTGATCCTCTTGCCTCAGCCTCCCAGCTGGGTACATAACAAATTCAAGGCCAGCTAGGACCACATAGCAAGACTTTGTCTCAAAAATCAAAAATAAATAAATAGTAAGAAGAAGGCAGTCATCAAACCCCAGCCCCAAAGGCAGCCACCACACGGAAGGTCTGTGTGTTTCCGTTCAGGAAGCCCTGATGCATCAAGCCAGCCTCGGCCAGCACAAGTCTGCCTTTAAATGGCTCTGCCCATCACAGTCTGAAACGTCGGGCTTGAATTATTGAACATATTGGGTTTCTCTGCAGTACTGGAATAATTAAAAGTCGCCAAAGTGTTTCGATCCGGAGCCAAGTGAGGACCAGCCCTAAACACAAAACCTTCCCATCTTAAGCCGAAGTGCTGGACCCACACCTGCTGCCCCAGCTCTCCGGGAGGAGGACGCAGGAGGACTGCAAATTCTGAGCAATTTAGTAATTTAATGTCAGAATTTTAAACATAAAAGGGCTGAGGATGTAGCTCAGTGCGAGGGCCTTGGGGTCAACCCCCAATACGCCCCCCAAAACAAACAATGAACAAAAGCGCAAACTGCTTGTCCCACCCAACAGGACAGTTTCTCGGCTTCACCCTCTTTATTTTCAGACGCACGCAGCACGCCCGCTGGTGAACGTTTACCCGGATTCCTCCGCAAGCAGCCAAAGCTCCCCCTGCGGGAGCTCCGAGAGAACGCTGGGGTGCCCCGCGCTCTTGGGGAGCGAGGCCCTGACTCAGCAGCCTGCTGGTTACTCCGCAAAGCCGTTCTTTATTTTTATGATGCAATCAGAAACTAAATTCCGGGATCGGTGCGAGTCCAAGCTGAGCTAGCAGCAGGGCAAGGCTGAGGGTTAGCGGACGGCGGCTCTGCTCCGCCCTCACGGCTCACTCCATCGGGGTCGGGAGAAGAACTCGGGGTCTCAGAAACCAGGGTGGGAACCAGAGACAGTGCTGGTGAGTTTCCAGCCTGGAGATGCCCCGGGGTGAACACGCCCCGAGGTGAACAGGCTCCGGGTGAACATGCCCGCCTCACAGGCTGCACCGGCTGGCTCCGAAGCCAGCTGCGCAAGTCAGAGGCCTCTGTGCAGGATACGCCGGATAGAGAAGGAATTAGCTGGCTTCTTGTGGGTTTCTGGGCCAGTGAGCCATCTTGCTCTACCTAGTAAGAAAGCCTCGTCACTTCTTTTTTTTACTGTTTTCTTTTAAGAAGTCTCACTGTGTAGCCCAGGCCCACCTCCAACTCATGGAGACCCTCCTGCCTCAGCCTTACCTGTGCTGGGATGGCAGGCCCAGCTACTTTTACTTTTTATTATGAATATGTACAAATTTGTGGAAAGCTAAAATGAATGCTGTGAGCTCCCATCAACCCCAAGTCTAGTATAATTATTGCTGTTATTTGTTTCAACTCTTTGTCCTTTAAAGTATAGGACTTGTAAATTTTAAGGACATTTTGCAGTTTAATAATCCCATGGTCCGTCTCTGGGGGTCCACCCACTGAGAAGCACCCCTATTCTCTACCACAGGACCCCAACATGCTGTGTGACCAGAGGGCACAGAAGAGAGCCAGCAC